AACAGTGAATGCAAAGGGTGTGAAGTGCCTCTACCCTGGAAGGAATGACAGACTTGCCATCCAGGAAAGCCCATTCATTGAGGAGAAGCACTTCCTTGTTGCCATGACATCTTCCAGGTAGCTGACCCAAGTTAGTGCTCTTGGCATAGCAGAGGGACTTCACACATGACCAAGGCTTTATGTACCAGAGGAAGAAGTCAGGTTCAAGGACAAAATCATCACCTTTGGCCTCTGAAGAACTCTCTGCAAAGCCCAGAGGGCTAGGACCAATGCAGGGATACTTCACTTGAAACCTCTGGGAGACTGTGGTGCTTTAGAAGGAGCATAGGCTGTGGGGTCAGACAGACTGGGTTTGAATTCCAGCTCCACTGCTTTTTAGCTGTGCAACTCTGGACAAGTTATTTAACCTCTGAGCAAAACTGGAAGCAGGAAGATTCAACTCACACAAGACTAAAGTAAGAACATTTGTGACATGCCTTACACAGTGCCTGGAACATGGCAGGTATTCAGAAAACACATATTCCTTTCCCTTGCCTTTCCTCAGGTTTGTCATATGCAAAATAGGAACAATATATTTGTACTTTATAAAGTTGCAATGAAATCAAGTAAGACAGTAGATGAATGATTTATAAACAGACCTCTTGTTGACAAGGTATTTCATTTCTATATTCTGTTTATCCTTTCATTTTCAAGTCAGATTACCAATAATGTGATACATCCCTTGGTTTCCAGATCTGAAAACAAGTCTCAGTTGGCTCCTGCCTCCTGCAGGGCCAAATAGTTCTTAAATAAGATCCCTGAAGTCATTAAGGGCTTGGAAAAAAAGCTCCAAGTACCCACACTGCTTTCAGAACCAATGACAGAGTGAAATGCTTCCCTGCATCCCGAACAGATGACATCTTAGAGTACTCAGAGCTGCTAAAAATAGCTCTCTCTAAAGCACCTTCTTGGCCTCTTTGAAGAAGCTAAGAGAAATTTAAGCCCAAGAGCCTGGCTCCATTGCAGGCTTCTACCCTGTAGGCATCTCCCGGCATCATCAATAGCTGGTTCTGCCTGGAAGCTGAGAAACCTACACTGCCCTCTCTGTCCTTGAGCCAGCCGTTCCTCAGCAGGACTCCCCTACGGCAGTCAGGAGAGCTGGTGAATGCCGAGGCTGGCCTCCCAAAATATGAAACAGACCAGTTGGGCATGCGTGCATGCGTATGTGAGTGAGTGAGTGAGTGAGTGAGTGAGTGAGTGAGTGAGTGAGTGTGTGTGTGTGTGTGTGTGTGTGTGTGTGTGTGTGTAACTCCAAAGGAAAGGCATCTGCTCAAGGTCACATCAAAATCAGTAGAAGAGTTAGGGCTATAACCCCAGTCCTTCCAATGCCTAGTTTGGGGCTTTCCAGCACAATGTGTTAACACCACCCTCTATAGTGTATGGGTTTCTAAGGAAATGGTCAGGTTGCTGCAGTCATAGCTTACAAATATGTTGAACTTTTGAAAACACAAAACTGGGGAAGATCAAATTAGGTGAGGGCTGATATTTTATGTCTTAAAACTAAAGCTTTATTACTACTTTACACATGCCAGGAGCTTTCCAATCTCATCTCCTTATTCCACAGTCCCAGGCTCCTCCTGTCTGCTCTCCCTAGTCTGGTTGCTCTAGTTTAACTCCTTAATTTCTCTCTGACCAACTGCAGAACACATAGCAGGATGCCTGGGTTTGGATCTTTGGGCTGGTTCCCAACTTCTCTAAATTTTAGTTTTCCCACTTGGAAAATGGGAAAAACAATAGTAATGACTGCAAAGGTTTGTTGTGATAGAAAACAAGTCAATATCCATAAAAAGCTTAAAAGAGTCCCTGGCACATAGAGAACCATTCAACAAATATCACCTATTTATTTTTATTCTCTGTCCTTCCACTTTCTTGCCAAACTAATCCTCAAACAATTCCACAAACCATCACCATAAGTTCTGAACATTATGAGACCATGTCCCAGTGCTGGAAATCAGAGCCTTGATGAATTCACGGCCTCCACCCTCAGGGGGACCTCCTGTTACACAGCTGTGTTACCTTCTCCTTTCAGTAAGGCTTTCACACCTTGACCTCTCTCCTTAAGAACGCTCCCTCTGTTCTTGCTCACCTCTCTCTCAGCAAATCAAAATCATTAGACAAGACTTTCTCTCCACTTTCCACTGGGCAATTTATTCTAAGCACATCTGTCCATGACCTTTTCCTTAGTCTGAGAGGAAGAGTTGTGCTCCTGTGTGAGGCACTCCATTCCCCCTACTCCCCAAAACAAAGAAGAGAACAAAACTCTAGATTCCACACCTCACCAAAGCCTCCTTGAAGGCCTGGCTCCTTCTGGCACCCCTCCTCCTGTGCTAGACTTGTCCTCCCCACTTGCTCCTACCCATCAACACTTATTTAACCATGCTCGTATCTAAAAAATGCCTCCTTTAATCCCACCCCCCCTTGCTCTCCTTGCCCTCGTAGCCAAGCGTCTTGTAAGAACAGGCCTTCTCTGCTAACTCTGCATCTTTGCACCCAGCCTCACCATCTCATTGACTCTGCTTCCACACGTCCCTGGCAGCCTCGTGACTATACAAACAACACAGCTTCTCGTTCCTGACCTTAGCTGACCTTCTGCAACTACTCACCTCATTCTGTTTTAGACCATGGAGTTCACCAAGCCAATTCACAGATCTCATAGCATTTAGATTTAAATCATTTCTATATTGTGAGATACTTGATAATGAAAACCACTGTAGTTTTTAAGACAGAACTTACCAAATTTGATTAAATCTTTTATCAGAGTTAATTTCTGCAGCTTTTATTGTTTCTGCCTCATATTATACATTTTTTGGAAATATATATCTTGATTAAAAGTGAATAGAGAATAAACTGTTAATGCTCAGATAGATTTTTTTAGCCTGTGGGTCACTGCTACCCTCACAAGCTCTGAGGGCAATGACTTTAGCTTCCTCAAGTTTGAATCATATCCAGTGTGTTCCAGTGTGCCCTGGGCATTGCAGGGCCAAAATTAATGTCTGTGGAATGACACAGCTATGTAAGCACTTTAGGGGTTAACATCACTTATTTGCATAAAATAGTTCTTGTCTCCCAAAAAAGAGGGGGTTCATAGTATGTGTGTGCATGTGTGTATGATTACAAAATGATCCCTACTTCAGAATGAAGTAATTGAGGTTCAGAGGTCAGGTGATTTAAGGTTGCTACTTTAAGAAGTGACAGTCAAAACTCAAATCCAGGTCTTCTGACATAGCCCATGTTCTTCTCTCATTTAAATATTCTAGAAGAAAGGGATTGATGGTAGGATGAGTGCTAGACTGGCCCAGAAAAACATGAGACCAAGAACCAGATCTGCCAAAGGTTCCAGTCCATATGCTACCGCTGATTCACTGGGTAACTCAGACAAAACGCTGCTTGTCTCTGAATCTCCCAAGTCATGAGAAGGGGTTGAACTGGAGGGTCTCTAAGATCTTTTTAAGCTTTCTAACTTTAGAATAATCATTATTAACAAGAAAGTGGGTGTTACCATGGCATTCAAGGCCTTTCCACATCTTGCCCTTGGACATCTGTAGTTCAGATTCATCTATTATCTCCACCCCCACAGTGTGTTTCAACCATTCTCACTACTTCTAGGTTCCTCAGTGTCATATCCTCACAATGCTGTCCCTTTGCCCAGGCTCTACTCTGTCTAGAATGCCCAACTCTTCCTTTATGTGCTTAAAAGAATGCCTCCTACTTCACCCTCAGGTCTCTATTGCTAGGCCCTCTGTGAAGCCTCCTGTACACTTTCAACCTCAGGCAGACTGTTGTTCTCTCCTCTGTTTCCTCTATTCCTACATGTATTCCCTTCACAATACTCATCACACAGCTATAAATTTGTTTAAATGTCAACTACCAAATGAACTATTAGTTATTTCAGGCAAAGATGACTCTTTTTCTCTATTCTAGTGTGCAGGACATTCAACAAATAAATACTTGTTGAGTAAATGAAGAGGAACTTATATAAAACTATCTATAGGGGCACCTGGGTGGCTCAGTCGTTAAGCGTCTGCCTTCAGCTCAGGTCATGATCCCGGGGTCCTCGGATAGAGTCCCGCATCAGGCTCCCTGCTCAGCGGGAAGCCTGCTTCTCCCTCTCCCACTCCCCCTGCTTGTGTTCCCTCTCTCGCTGTGTCTCTGTCAAATAAATAAATAAAATCTTTAAAAACAAAACAAAACAAACATCTACACCCCTGAGATAAATAACACATTTCTCTGAGATTCTCTGAGAGATGAGGTATCTTGTCCAAGGCCTCACAGCTAGTGAGTTGAGTAATCAGGATTCAAACCCAGGACTTTCTAAAGGCAGCGTCCACACTCTTTCTCCAGCCCCTTGAATGTTAAAGAACCCGTTAATTGTGAGGGTTAGTATCAGTGGTAAGACCTCTGCACTGCTCCTAGCCCAAACTAGAACAAACTTTTTCAACATTTTCAAATCTATTTCAATCTCTATCCAAGGAGTGCTGGGCCTTTGTTGTTTTTGAAAAACAGGTTCCTTGCCTCAGCTTGAAAATCAGCTCTTTATCCTCTGGTGGCAAGTCTCTCACTCTCTTCCAAATCCACATCCAGGAAGTCTGGTGAGTGTGTGTTTGCGTCTGTGTGTGTCTCAATGGCAGCCTTAGGGGAAACTGAGCAAAGAATGGATTTGGACATTGTTTGGGAGAGCAGAAAAGGTTCTGTGAGGAGGATACAGGTCTCAGATATGCCAGCAGAGAAGAGATGGGCCAACCTTAAGTCCCAAAGAGAATGGAGGAGATTCTATTCCCACCCCAACCCTGAGTCTGAACTGCCCCAGTTCCCAGAGGGGATTCCCAGCTGGGACTCCCAGCTTAGATAGACTGAGTCCAGAGCAATTAAGGACAGGGAAAGGCCAGCACATGGGTTTGTTTTTTCAAACAGAGACCACCTCCCACCCCAGGCATCACTGCTGGTCTCCACTTTCTCCTTACCTGGAGCATAACTGGGGCTATTGGTGGGGTACAGACTGGGATTGTAGGCAGGGGCTGCTGCCGGGTAGGCTGTAGGGTAACCTATAAAGAGACAAAAAAAAGCCCCAATTAGTTAGGCAAGAAGAAAAGGAAACAGAATCCAAGTCCCAGGCTTGGCCTTCAGCCTCTGTGTGGGCCTTTCCAGACAGTATATGTGACCAGCTTTTAGCCTCTATGAAAAAAGTCACGAATACCACAATCTCAACATACGCAGATGTTTTTTTCTTTTTCTATTTATTTAAAAGCAGTATAAGAACTATATGTCTATATACTCACTGTAAAAAAAAAAATTGAAACACCACAGAAGTGTACGTGGTAAAAAGTCTAAGTTTACTCTCACATTCCTGCTGCAACACTACTTTACTCTCCGGGGGTAGTAACAGCTATCCTTCCAGATAGTTTTCTACAGTTTTTAAAGATTTTATTTATTTATTTGAGAGACACAGTGAGCGAGAGAGAGAGCACATGAGCAGGGGCAGAGGGAGAAGCAAGCTCCCTTGCTGAGCAGGGAGCCCAATGCGGGGCTTGATCCCAGGAGCCCAGGATCATGACCTGAGCCGAAGGCAGACTCTTAACTGACTGAGCCACTCAGGCACCCTCTACACATTTTTATACACATATATTCAGTGGTGTTCTGGTAAATATTTAACAACTGGCTTGAGGGGATTGAAGTGGAGCTCTATGTGTAGCATTCACCAAGTTCCATGGTATAAATAACTCCCACCATGGCCAATTTCAAGTTACCAATGTCAAAAGGAACAGTTGGGAAAAGATGCTCACAACTGGCTCTCTAGCCCACAAGCGAGATCCAGCCTGCCACTGCATATTATATATAGGGTTTTTTTTTGAAAAAATTGTTTAAAGGATTTTTTTTTTTTAAGTACAATCTACTCCCCAAAGTGGGGCTTGAACTCATGACCCCAAGATCAAGAGTCACATGCTCTACGAACTTAGCCAGCGGGGAGTCCCATTTTTTTTTTAAATTCTTATTGGGACAAAATACATATAACATAAAATTTGTGATTTTAACCATATTAAGTGTATGATTAATTCAGTGGCATTGTGTTCACAATGTTTTACAACTATCCCCAGTATCTGTTACTAAGACTTTTTAATCACTCCAAATTCTGTACCCAGTAAGCAGTAACATCCCATTCTCTCTCTCCATAGCTCCTGTTAACCTCTAATCTACTTTGTTTCTATGAATTTGCCTATTCTAGATATTTTATATAAATGGAATCATAGTTTTGTGTCTAGTTTCTTGCACATTTGTTTTAAAGAGGGGGGAGGGGGATGGGCAGAGGGAGAACCTTTTTTTAATTTAAATTTTTAAATTAAATTTTACTTAGTTAACATACAGTGCAATATTGGTTTCAGGAGGAGAATTAAGTGATTATTCACTTACATACAACCCAGTGCTCATCACAAGTGCCCTCAGTAATACCCTTCTTCCATCTAGCCCATACCCCACCCACCTTCCTCCATCAACCCTCAGTTTTTCAGTCTTTAAGAGTCTCTTATGTAGGCACCTGGGTGGCTGAGTTAGTGAAGTATCTGCCTTCGGCTCAGGTCATGATCCCGGAGTCCTGGGATCAAGTCCTGCATCGGGCTCCCTGCTCAGCAGGGAGTCTGCTTCTCCCTCTGACCCTCCTCCCTCTCGTGCTCTCTATCTCTCATTCTCTCTCTCTCAAATAAATAAATAAAATCTTAAAGTCTCTTATGGTTTATTTCCCCCTCTCTTTCTTCCCTCCCCTTCCCATATGTTCATGTTTTCTTTCTTAAATTCCACATATGAATGAGATCATATGGTATTTGTGTATCTCTGACTTATTTCACTTAGCATAATACATTCTAGCTCCACCCACGTCGTTGCAAATGGCAAGATTTTTTGATAGCTGAGTAATATTCCATTGTACATATATATCACATCATCTTTATCCATTCATCAGTTGATGGACCTTTGGGCTCTCTCCATAGTTTGGCTATTGTTGATAATGCTGCTATAAACATCGGGGTACATGTACCCCTTTGAATCTGTATTTTTTTGTTTTTAAACTTATTTATTTGACAGAGAGAGTGCACATGAGCATGAGCAGGGGGAGCTTCGGAGGGAGAGGGAGAAGCAGGCTCCCCACTTAGCAGGGAGCCCGACATAGGGTTCGATCTCAGGACCCTGGGATCATGACCTGAGCTGAAGGCAGATGCTTAACCAAGCCACCCAGGCGCCCCTTGAATCTGTACTTTTGTATCCTTTGGGTAAATACCTAGTAGCGCAATTGCTGGATTATCGGGCACTTCTATTTTTAACTTTTTGAGGAACCTCCATACTATTCTCCAGAATGGCTGCACCAGTTTGCATTCCCACCAACAGTGTAAGAGGGTTCCCCTTTTGAAAGAGACAATCTTAAGCAGGCTCCACTCCAAGTACAGAGCCCAACACAGGGCTCGATCCCACAACCCTGAGTTCAGGACCTGAGCTGAAATCACTTAACCGACTGAGCCACCCAGGCATCCCAGCTTCTTTAACATTATGAGCATTTTCCCATATAATTACATATTCTTCAAAACATTATTTTAAATATATTAAATTTAAATATTTATAATATTCCATTATGTAGATAGATCAAATCATTTAACCATTACTCTGCTTTAGGTTGTTTGAAATTTTTCACTATAATAAATACAACTATGAGAACAACCTAAATAAATCTTTGGCTACATCTCTATTTTAGGAACAAGTCTAGAAGTGAGATTTCTAGGTCAAAAGATAGTGCTATTTTTAAAGCTCATCCATTCAACAAATATTTCAGTATCGACTCTGCCAGACACCGTGAAACCTGTACTTGTGGAGCTTATATTTTTAAAGGGTGGGAGAAGGCAATGGATAAATAGTAAATATGAATAAACACAGTCTACAGTGCTATGGAAAAGAGAAAAAGGGCAGGGCAGAGGGTGTCAGAAGTGGCAGGGTGTGAAGGGAGGGCGCTGTAATACCGAATAGGGTAACCAATATAAGACACATTGAGAAGGTAAGATTTTCACAAAGACTTGAAGGAAACAGAGTTAACCAAGTAGATGGCTGAAGAAAGAGCATTTCAGATGAAGGAAACTGTACAAAGCCCCTAAGTGGAAAGCCTATGGGATGTGTCTGAGGAACAGCAAAGGGGCCAGTATGGCTAAGTGAACAAATGAGGGGGACAGTCGTAGTAGAGGAAGTGAGAGACAGAAAGGGCCAGTCAGTTCACAGAGGGCCTTATAGTCCTACTGAAAGGACTTCACTTTCATTCTGAGTGAAATGAGAAGCAATCACAGGGGCTGAGCAGAAGAATAACATGATCGGACTTTCGTCTGAAAAGGGTCACTCTGATTACTGTGTTGAAAAAAAGACTACAGGGGCCCCTGGGTGGCTCAGTTGGTTAAGCGTCTGCCTTTGGCTTGGGTTGTGATCCTGGGGTCCTGGGATCGAGCCCCGCATCAGGCTCCCTGCTCAGCAGGGAGCCTGCTTCTCCCTCTGCCACTCCCCCTGCTCGTGCTCTCTCTCACTCTCTCTCAAATAAACACAGTCTTAAAAAAAAAGAAAAGAAAATAGACTATAATGGGGACAGGGTAGAGAAGCGGAGATCAGTTAGGAGTCTATTGCAAACTCCTGGCAATAGATAATGGGCCTCAGAACAGGGTAAAATCAGCAGAAGTGAAGAGAAGTGGCATGCTAGGAGTTTTCACCTACTTTGCCAAACTGCTTCCTAGATAACACTATCAATTTGTACTTGCACTAGCAGTAGCTAAGTGCCTGTCTCACTGCTGCCTGCAGCTTTTTAATGTTCATTGGTATTTTGACTGACAATGGAAAGCTGATTTTAAAAGTCAAAGATTAAATCTCTAAATCCCTAAAAGCTTCTTTGGGATTTGTAAATATTGCACTTTAATAATGTATCTTTGTTGGGGCGCCTGGGTGGCTCAGTTGTTGGGCGTCTGCCTTTGGCTTGGGTCATGGTCTCAGGGTCCTGGGATCGAGCCCTGCGTTGGGCTCCCTGCTCAGCGGGAAGCCTGCTTCTCCCTCTCCCATTCCCCCTGCTTGTGTTCCCTCTCTCGCTGTGTCTGTCAAAATAAATAAATAAAATCTTTATAAAAAAAATAATGTATCTTTGTTAATATGCCTTTCGCTAAATCCTTTCCAACTCCAAAGAAAATTCATCTCACTTTACCCCCCATTTTCTGATTTCAGAACCAAGGTGGACAACTTGTTGTCTTTTTTTTTTTTTTTTAAGATTTTATTTATTTATTTGACAGAGAGAGACATAGCAAGAGAGGGAACACAAATGGGGAGTGGGAGAGGGAGAAGCAGGCTTCCCGCTGAGCAGGGAGCCCGATGCGGGGCTCGATCCCAGGACTCCAGGATCATGACCTGAACCAAAGGCAAACGTTTAACGACTTGAGCCACCCAGGTGCCCCAACTTGTTGTCTTTTGATTAGTATTATGGAGGTTGGCCGCTTATCAAGAAGAAAAGTCAGGGGTTTAACCTGGAAAGCAAAACGATCCAGTCTCAAGGCTGAAATCTATATTCAGCCTCATGTGAAAGATTGTGTGGCCAAGGGTAATTATACCCCTGTTTTGTCATTTCAGATGCCTTTTACTTTGGGGTAAATTATAGGATCTTCTTTCAGTGTTCCAAGTAGATTTATTTTTCATTCACTTGAATTTGGCAGATATAAGATGGCAGAATAGAAGGAGCTTTATTTGATTCTCCAACCCTCTCCATTTTATAAAGGACATCCTCAGGCCAAGAGAAAGGAAAGGACTCAGGGTTACAGATTTCTGATGCTAGAATGTGCCTTAAAGGCCACTTGGTCCACCCTCACATTTGGGGCTAGAGCCTCCTCTGTGACATGCTCACGGGATCCATTCAACCCAGCCCCTACATCTCTATAGACACCGAACTCCTTTCCTGAGACCCCTACTCCACTGTGAGACTACTCTGATTGTCTGAAAATGACTTTTCATACTTCATTAACTCTACCTGTAGCTTCTGCCCTTTAGAACA